AGATGCGTCCACAAAATAGCAGGCCTGGAAGTGTGCTCACATGTCCCTCCCTTCATCCTCCCCGGCAGCATCATTTCCATGGTTACTAAACGAGTCACTCCTCACAGTCAACACTGATGTGAAGGAAATGGCTTCATCAAAGCCAATTATCTCCCCCTCTGAGAAGTGGACAGGTTATTAAGAAATGTCCAGAGTTGGCACTAATGATCTTATGTCTTATGTGATCACAATTGCAGCTAACTAAGTAGGTGTCAGAGTCAACATATTGTGTTAATCACTTACAACCAAAGTAATAATACTCCCATAAAAAAGAAGTTAGGAGGATTTTAGTAAATTCAGTAATTGCCTCTTTATTTTACTCCTGGGTAGGGCATTTTTTAATGAACCAATCTTACTTGTTTATTCCAGTGCTTTTGATTGTTTTTGAATAGTGAAATATGAGCAATTTTGCTACCAGGTTACCTAATTAAGCCTTTTATCAGATTATACCTGCATTAAGAAAGAAAAGCCTGCAGAGATTCATTTCTTTCAATAAGCTCCGTTAAATAACTTATTTATCAAAGTTATTAAACCATTATGCAACAATAAAACTTCATTTCCAAATAATGTCCCATTATTAGGCTTAGTTTAGTTTGATAAAACCAGGTTTGCTACACATTTGAAGATAAAGCAAGAGAAATAGCTTGTTTAAGAAAGATAACTAAAGCCAGAGCCAGATAAAACCACCTCAATCAGGGCTGTGAATTGTTGGTTAATGTTTGTCCCCAAATCTGCCCCAGACAGATTTTATGCTTTCTCTGATGACTAACTCTTACAGGAATATAATTGGCTCTTAACATTAAACCCATCTTGGTGGGATAATCCTTGACTAGGGGGTCTGATACTAAGAAACACTTGAAATGTACCTGGTCAATTGCTTATAGAGTTTTAGTAACCCTATGGAAAATAAGTTCTGTGGACATTATTAGACCGTTCAAAAATAAATAAATGAATGAATAAATAAATAAATAAATAAATAAGATTTTTATTCCAAAAACAAAGTGCTTGCGTTTTGGGTCTGTGGGCCTATCCAACCCACCCAAGGGTAAGACTGGGTTAAGGTCCTCTCGTTCATTCATGGAGCACAGATCTAAGGTATAGCCAGGGACTGTGTTCCCTAGAAAAACCTACCACGTGGTGGAGTGGAGAGAATGTGGCTGTGAAACGATACTTTCAAGCTCTGGTTCTACCATCTGTCACCTCGACAAATGTTTTCACCTGGTTCATAAGGGCCCTTGGTTAGATAAACAAACAAACAAAAACACTGTATTCATGGATGGGGATCACTTGAAAACGTTTTGCTAAGGCCTGTCTTTGCCGTTCTATCTAACTGGTGATTGTGATGACTCTTATGTTCTAGGTAAATACTGGTGAATACATCTTTCTCTACCTCTGCCCTGTAAGCATTCTTTGTTTCTTCCTTTGTGGTCGATAAGACTCTTTTTGGTGAAGGAGCAAAAGCAACTGATGCACCATAGCACTGATCATTTTCATTCCTAATTCTAAGGTGGTTCTCAAATCGGGAAGAAAAATACATTAAGAGGCAATGTTACTTACTGGTCTCCTGGGAGATCTCACAGGTTCCTCATGAAATTGCACTCTTAGTCTTGGGTTCAGCAATTTGGAGACAGGCAAACAGATGAACATCCGAGCTAAGTGTCCCGTCCGTTCCATCAGGAGGCAGAGATGGCGGCCCATTGCTAACCATACCTCCAGCGCTCAAACCACGCTGGCCATGCATTAGGAGCCAAGAACGTGGTTTCTGAGGGAGTACGTGGAAGAATGAATGAAGCCAGCCCTCCAATCTTACTCTCCTCAGGTGTAGGATAGAATGATGGTATCTACTTGCCACTGGTTGTGTGATAATTAAATAACACATGTAAAGTGTTTAGCACAGGGAAGAGCGTATAAGAATTATGACTAGTAATCATTATCTTCCTACAGGAAAGCCATATCTCTGGTTCATAGAAAGATGCTTTTTTATTTCCCACTCTCCTTGATTTTCTTATGTGGTAAAGTATAAGTCCTACTGGTATTAACAAGTAAAACTCTTGTTTAGGATAAAGTTGATAAAACTTTCAAGTCTGTGTACTTGAGAAACAAAGGGAATCTAGATGTTCATTGACTTTCTCCCCATCTCTGGGCCAGTGGAGCAAACCTCCACTCTTTCAGAGACTCCCATCAAGGGACTACGGGTGGGATTTGCTTCTGAATGTTCACTTTCTGAATAAGTAAGAGCAGAACTACATGCTTAGAGCCTTCTCTGTGGCCTGGTCCTCATGTCAAACCGAGTTAGGAAGAACATCCCTCACCATCCGGTCAATCGATGGCCACAGTTGGGTAGGAATGTGAATTACAAATACCCCAGGTCAGTGAATTCTAGAAAATCATGCCATTTCACATTTGCTCAGATCCCTGGTTTCCATCCTGTGAAATACAAGGGCTAATGCAGGTCTTCCATTTCCTAGGAAGGCACTCCACTACTTTTTCTTCTTACTTAGTCTAATGACTCACATTCCAGATGGTTCTGCCCAATTTTAGAATTACCATGATCTACTTTGTAGGAAAAAGAACAACCTGTAACATCCCATGTACAGTAACTCACATAATAGTTTTCAAGGAATGAAAACTACACCGCTCACCACAGAAGCATTTCTGGCTCCTTTCACGTTAGGAGACATAAAATGTCAGTGTTCTGTCCTGGGGGAGTGCTGTAACTTATTCGCTGTAGTTTCCTAATGAATTTACATTCTTAAAGAATGCTTAATGATATGAAAAAACATTCTCAAAACAATGAACTACAAGGAAAATATCAATAGAGACAGTGCAATTCTAATTTCGTTTTTTAAAAAGGTTACTATGAATTAAACAAACAAACAAACAAACAAACGCAGGAGAGAAATATCTCCAAATGTTTATCATCTCAAGGGTGGGTTGAATTTTTGTAAAAATCACCTCCTCTTCTTTTTTTGTGAAACATGCCTTCTCCCACTCACAGGGACTGTCAGGACACCCGAGAAACTTTACCAAGTCATGTTTCAGCACTTACGAATCTCCCAAAATAAAGGCAACATATGCATTTGATGAAAGAAGACTGATGACTCAGTATTTCTGACAAGAGTTTTGAGTGTTTTTTTTTTAGTTCCTCTGAGGAAGGACAGTCAGAGAGTCCTGGTGTGGACAGCTGTGGGGCTGTGGGAGCGGGCCCTTGCCGCAGTGGCCAGTGTGCTCAGCTCAGGCCCTGCCCCCAGAGTCCTGGGATTGGTGCAAGTCCAGGCTTTAAGTGCAGCCCCACCTCTGGAACAGGTGAGCAGTATCCATGTGACACCTGCAAGGGGCTTTATCCTGACTTATCTGCAGATCAGTATTCTACCCAAAGGCCACTGTTACTGATAAAATGGTATACTGATATATATATTTAAATCGATGTTATCTGCTTAGCGAGCATTCTTCCTAGAGAAACTACTAAACAGGTCATTTAGTACTTTTCTTCAATTAGGACAGCGGTCGCCAACCTTTTGGACCTTACAGACCCACCAGTGGTCCACAGACCACCGGTTGGCGACCGCTGAATTAGGGAACAAATGACTCTTGCCACTCACTATTTTGCATGTTTTTCTTTTGGTCTGGTATCCATACTCTTCCAATGGCTTTTTAAGAAAACTCAGTCCCAGTGGGGAACTTCAATCCTTCCCTTCATCCACGATGCACAGAACTTGCTTCAGTGAAAGTTCAGATTCAAGTCCAGAGGCTCTAGGTGCCCACCTGACTGGGAGGCACTGGGGTTGAACTAGAGCTCCAAAGAGAAAGCAGCTCCTCTGGCTGACGCAAATGAGGAATTTCCGCTGGCTGTGAACACAGCCTTATGCAACATAGCCGCCTCGTTCATCACTTTCCTTTGTATCTACTTATCAAAATACTTATAAGATGTCCTTGCACTGTCGCACCTCACTAAGCCTCTCGGTATTTACATTTCCAGTAGGATCCTCTGTCCTTACGTGACGTCTGGTCTGACGTAATGAGCAAGCATGGGCTTTTAGAAAGTGGACTCTCTCTGTGTGTGTCTTTCTCCATCTCTGTCTTGGTCTCCGTCTCTTTCTAGATATACAGTCAAATCAGTGCGCAGATGGGGGATTGAGAGTATCACAGATCATTACTGTGGCTAATCAATTACACAATCTGACAACTGTGCCCTGATATCCTCTTTCTTGAAAAATATGCACATTTGAAACCCGATTTACAATTAAGGAAGTCAAAATTTTCCTTTTAAAACTAATATATCAGTAGAAAGTGGAAAGTTCAGTGGAGACGGTGACCTTGTGAATTATTTGTGTGGGAGTAAGTAACGCATGACATGCTGCAGCTCTCCAGAGGCAGAGCAATCCAGGGGACAGCCGGCCTTACACAAACTCACGCCCTGGGAAGATCGCGCAATAGTGTGTGTGGCTATGAAGCGTCCGTGAGCAAGAGGCATCCCAACAGCAAGGGGGCGCTGTGGGGAATGGCTGTGCCTCAGAAGCAGGAGGATTTTTAGGACAAGTGAGGGGTTCAGTTATAGTTTCCTCACAGTGTTCCTAAGACCCCCAGCAATATTTTTCATTGTGAAATAAGGCAGAGCAAAGAATTCCAGGACAACCGTTCTTCAAGGAAAAGCTTGTGTTGCCTTGAGATCCCTTTTGCCTGCC